CCACTGTAAATATGCCTGTGTCCTACACAAAATAATAATAAGGAAAAAAAAGTAATGTCATCGAAATTAACCATGGAATTGGGCCAACTGGGCACTTGCCCAGGGGCCCACGACATTAAGGGGCCCTGGGCACCAGCGGCGGAGTGGCAATCGGGAGAGTCGGGTTCTCCGGTGGGCCGGTAGTGTTTCGAGGCCGCGAGGGACGGTTTGATAAAACGGAGCGTATGTTTGCACTAAGTGCCTGTGTTTTTTTCAGAAAAAAAGACAGTATTTACGTCACAGGTAAAGTGGTGTAGGTGGTTACGCGTTGAGCGCGTAAAAGAGCTTCTGATCCGCAGCGCTCGGACCCGAGTTCGATTCCGCCTTTTCCCTTTTCCCAACACATATGAGATGTAAAATGTTTAACCTAACATAGGTCTCTAGCGTGTTATTTTGCCAACGAACTAAAATCGAAACCATGACATGGCTTTTTGCGTTTATAAAACAGCACAAGACTTTAAGAATAGGCATCAGTGCTGGGTGATTTAAGGTGAGTGGACAGAGGCAAATAATGAATGAACACAAAAAGAATGGTTGGATAAATCAAACAATTTATCGTCGTCAGGAAATAATGTTTTATCTAATAATTTAACCCATACTGTATAAATTGACTGAGGTGTGTTCACTGTTGTGTAAGCACTAAAAATAATTATAATAAGTGAATTTGTGTTGTGCAAGGTTTATGCAAACAACAAATAAAGGCCTACATAAACTTTTGACATCCTCTTATAGCAGGAAATCATGTTTTATTTTTATTTTATTTATTTATTTTTTATTGTACGTAGCAACATGAAAAACATTTCTTAATATGTCACATCATTTGAAAGATATTTCTAATCTATAAATTGCAACAAACTTGTAATTAACACTTACATTTAAAATGTTTAGTCATTATTAGATATTTTTGAAATAGTAGTTTTAGCCATTAATTCTCTGGAATATGTTGTATTTCACATTGTTGTGAAACTCTATAGAGGTATAGAGGTTTAACTGAAATTATACACTTTAAAATGTTGTCTTCCTGGCCAGCAGGCAATTTCTGATGACAGTAAGGCAGGCCCTGGTCAGTCAAGTGAGGATCTACAAGAGGGAAGCCACATTCAAAATATGTTGTTGTTATTTTATTTTATTATTATTTTTATTGTTGCACATAGGCTATTGGCTTTTTTGTTCATAATGATAGACATTGTATGCTGAGATAAGTAAATGTTTAAATGATAAATACTTTGCTGAAGCCATGGGTCATGGGTGATTGGAATACTAGTCGAACAGTCTGATCATGCATATGTAGTGGTGATCAGGAAGGCCTTTTTTTTTTTTAAAATTGACTTTTTAGTCCAAATCATTTGCCCAAATAACGCAAAGTAACTACTTGAGCACGAGTTAAAGCCCAAATTATGTAAAATAACGAATTGAGTTTAAATTATTTGCTGACAGCTTGGTCCCCCCCAGTTAAAAAATCCTATCTGCGCCACTGATATCAGCTGTTCCAGTATCCCTCCACCTCCCCAAACTCCACCTTCATCTTAGGTACCTTGCCCTTTAATTAACAGGTGGGGGGTATATCAGAGCTCGAGTTGAAGCTGCTTCATCGAGCCCCTCTCCAGTGGACAGCAAGCCAAGTTTAACCTAATATCCTAAAGATTTTATGGGCAAACAAAATCGTTAAATATAACATAAATTATCACTGTTACGCTGACGACCTCCAACTATATCTCCCAATCAAACCAGGAAATGACTTTTCATTAGACAACCTCTTCACATGCCTCAAAGAAGTCAAGACCTGGATGACAAATAACTCACTGCAACTGAATGAAAATAAAACCGAAGTGCTTCTACTGGGCCCTGCTGCTACCAACAACTCAGTTAAAACACAGCTAGGTGTTTTGTAGCTAAGAACCTACACAATCATGAAAAAAAGCCCCCAAAAAAACTCTTTTTATTCTATTTTGATCCTCTTCTCCAATTTGACAAGCATGTAAAAGCAGTTGTAAAGAGTAGACGTAAAGAGAACTTTCTATCTAGTAAAGACCTTGAAATTGTGATTCATGCACTGATTTCCTTTCCATTGGACTACTGTAATTCTCTATATGTTGGCCTACCTCAAACTACAAAGTCTTGGTTACAGATGGTTCAAAATTCAGCAGCCAGATTCTTGACAGGAACTAAGAAAAGGGATCATATCTCCCCTGATCTTGCCTCATTGCATTGGCAACCAATAAAATTTAGAGTCGACTTTAGGATACTTCTTTTTGCTTACAAGGCTCTACATAGTTTGGCCCCAGATTATATTTGTGATCTTATTAGGCCATACACAGTCTCTAGGTCACTAAGGTCACTACCTTGTAATCAGTCACTTTTGTCTGTACCTCGCTCTCGGAGGAAATCAAAAAGTGATCAAGCTTTCTCTGTAGTCGCCCCAAAGCTCTGGAACAATTTACTTTTAGACATCAGGACCTCTTCATCTCTGGTTGCTTTTAAATCCAGTTTAAAGACCTATTTTTACTCTCTTCCATTCGAGTAATTTGTGTATGTACTTAAATTAGTCTGTGTTCTATTTAATGAATGTATGTATATACACTAAATGATTTTGATACTTGATTTTTGAATCCGTCATCAAATTAATACCTTTAATTATATCAAGTGCTGTGAGAAAAGGCTGGTTATGTACTGGCTCAAAAAATTATTTCTGGATAATTTTATCCCCAAAAAAGTTACGGACTGGAGCTTTAGGCCTAAATATTATGAAGTGTACTGTATACCCTTTTCTTTATTTACCTCATTGTAAATGCCCGCAATCAGGTAGGACTATTCATGCACCATGGCAGTGTGGCTAAAGCTACTGTATTTTGAAACTAGCTTTTCAAACTAACATAATTTCAGTCCAGACAAGCTACTGTTTTGAAAGAAAGAAAAAAAAGCCACACAAGCTTACAAAAAGTGTCTTAATACATGAATAGGGGACATAAATATGATATAGGCCAGAGAACTACTATCAATATAGATTCAATATAAAATAAGAAAACTAAAGTGTTTTTTTCATTCCCAGTGAGACAGTGACATATTCAACAGAAATGTATTTGCCTTTGTCTTATGTCTTTTTGTGGAATGTGATCACATACCATAAACAGCATGCACCACCATTAACAGGTGAGTCTAGCTCCTAATCTCATCCATGTCTTAAAAAATGATTGCACATAAAATTACACTTCTATTACAGTAAATCAAGATGTTACTTATAGACATTCCATTGCTTTGTGTGCTCTTCACTAAAACAGCTAAATTATTGAATTAGTCATTAATTGTAATTAGGCTACTTTATTTGACTGGCTAGTCACTTTACACCCATGTTCAAGGTATTTTTCTTGTCTGGTTCTTTCCGGGTATCCAAGCTTTAACAAAAATGACTGGAAGAAAACTATGCTGGAGCAAATACGATAATGAAATAATGCAACAGGGATCTCTCGTTTTGAACTTTTTGTTAACAGTCGACCCCCAAAAGTTCATTCAGTAAGCTTACATTCAATACGTTTCCCAAAATCTATATATATATAAAGGAGTTTTTTTCACTGATACTACAATGTTCTCTGTAGGTTTCTTATGATTTCTTGTAACTTGCATTGCATGCCATCAGCACACACTTCTATAATTATACATGGTGTTGACAGAAAAAAATGGAAAGATTAAAAAAATAGTAATGGTTACTTATAGTAACACAAACATGTTTAAAACAGAAAGAAGTTTCTGGGAATTTTTGTACATCATATTGGAGAGATTTTTCAAACGGCTTTAGTTTGTTCTTTCATTCATTAAAATGGGGATTTTTTCTTAAATATTTACATCTATGAATACATATACTGTAATATAATCAGGTTTGTATCCTCTTAAAATCTAAATTACCTGAAGAGAAATCCTTACCTGCTTTCCTGCCTATATTTTTGAGGCTACAAAATTCCTCATATTAATGTGCCTCTCTAATTCTTGTTCTTGTTCATGTCTTTCAAGCGTTCTGGTTTAATTCAATGCAATGTTTAACACACATGTGTGTGTATGTGTATAAAAAATTAAATCACACGTGATGTTATAAAATGTTTCTTATCTTGTCAATGACCTGATATGTTCTTGCTTGATGTTTTTAATGAGTATAAAATTAGCTGATTTAAGGCTTGAATTTGACAAACACATAACTTGCTGAGTAGTTTCACATAAGCCTCCATATGTAAAGTAAATTATGAGGAAAAAATGAAAATGAATTGAAATAAAGCATTAAGAAGATTGAAAGATTTTTTTTTTTTAGATTTTTTAGCAGGTTTGAATACCCTTGGTGAAATCACAAACTTAATCCTTATTTTTTTTGGACTGATTTTATATTTTAGGTCCAAGAGACCCCAGTGATACTTGTAAAACCAGAAACAGTCATTTCAAAATTAACTCTCGTTTTATCATCAAATTATTTTAATAGGCCTCTCTGACCTTACCATGAAGATTAAGCTTGGTTGTGCTTAAGACTGTCTTTGTTTTGAATGCATTAGTCTGTTCAGTGACCTTTGAGTCATGTGTATAAAGAAACTCCACCCGAACTGACTGTTTTGCTATTTTTTATGTCTTCATACAGTATGAATTGTTACTTACTTATGAACTTACTCATAAGTGTCTGGTTTATCCACCGCAGGCACCATCTTTTATTCAGACATAAATACACACACACACATACATTCTTTTGCAGTTTCTTCATTAGGGTGGAAACTTAACTTTCTGGTCATTGAGTACCAATATTGCTGGTGCTGGCTTCACGATCTGACACACAAACACACCCATCAACAAAGTGTAGAACCCGCCCTCCAGCTCTAACTATATAACAGGACAGCTTGGTTCAAAGGCACCACATACTTCAGGACAACTCTAAAGACATTTTGTGTCTTCTCCCTTTTGCATTCGTCCCATTTCTGCATAGATCCACCATGTCATGCTCGAAGGCCTATACCGAGACTTCTCTGAAGACCTGCTCTGAAACCTGCTCCAAGCCGTGCTCCTTCAACTTCCCGGACATCTGCCCTGATACTTGTCTGAAGACTTGCTCTGAGACTTGTTCAGAAACCTGCCCCAAACCCTGCTCCTTCACCTTCCCAGAGACCTGTTTGAAGACTTACTCTGAGACCTGCTCTGACACCTGCCCCAAGCCCAGCTCATTCACCTTTCCCAAGACCTGCCCCGAGACCAGTCTGAAGACCTGCACTGAGACCAGTTCCGAGATCTGCTCCAAGCCTTGCTCCGTCACCTTCCCCGAGACCTGTCTAAAGACTTACTCTGAGACCTGCTCTGACACCTGCCCCAAGCCCTGCTCCTTCACCTTCCCCGAGACCTGTCTGAAGACTCGCACTGAGACCTGCTCTGACACCTGCCCCAAGCCCTGCTCCTTCACCTTCCCAAAAACCTGCCCTGAGACCAGCTCCGAGATTTGCCCCAAGCCCTGCTCCTTCACCTTCCCAAAAACCTGCCCTGAGACCAGCTCCGAGATCTGCCCCAAGCCCTGCTCCTTCACCTTCCCAAAAACCTGCCCTGAGACCAGCTCCGAGATCTGCCCCAAGCCCTGCTCCTTCACCTTCCCAAAGACCTGCCCTGAGACCTGTCTGAAGACCTGCCCTGAGACCTGTCTGAAGACTCAACCTGAGACCTGCTCTGACACCTGCCCCAAGCCCTGCTCTTTCACCTTCCCAAAGACCTGCCCTGAGACCAGTCTGAAGACTCAACCTGAGACCTGCTCTGACACCTGCCCCAAGCCCTGCTCTTTCACCTTCCCAAAGACCTGCCCTGAGACCAGCTCCGAGATCTGCCCCAAGCCCTGCTCCTTCACCTTCCCAAAGACCTGCCCTGAGACCTGTCTGAAGACGTGCCCTGAGACCTGCTCTGACACCTGCACCAAGCCCTGCTCCTTTACTTTTCCCAAGACCTGCCCTGAGACCAGCTCCGAGATCTGCTCCAAGCCTTGCTCCATCACCTTCCCCGAGACCTGTCTGAAGACTTACTCTGAGACCTGCTCTGACACCTGCCCCAAGCCCTGCTCCTTCACCTTCCCAAAGACCTGCCCTGAGACCTGTCTGAAGACGTGCCCTGAGACCTGCTCTGACACCTGCACCAAGCCCTGCTCCTTTACTTTTCCCAAGACCTGCCCTGAGACCAGCTCCGAGATCTGCTCCAAGCCTTGCTCCATCACCTTCCCCGAGACCTGTCTGAAGACTTACTCTGAGACCTGCTCTGACACCTGCCCCAAGCCCTGCTCCTTCACCTTCCCCAAGACCTGCCCTGAGACATGTCTGAAGACTTACTCTGCGACCTGCCCTGACACCTGCCTAATACCGTGCCCTGAGACCAGTTCCAAATCCATAATTATTCCCCATCATTGTGGTACAGTTGCTCCCAAAGCCTACAGTGTTTATGGCTGCGGTTTTGGCGGAAGGACTGGCAGACTGTACAACGGAGGACACGGTGAAAGATTTGGTGCAAGAATCATGGCTGGAGGGTGCTATGGAAGAGATTATGACTACCTCCAGAAGACCGAGAAGGCCACCATGCAAAACCTGAATGACCGTCTGGCATCCTACCTAGATAAGGTGCACTTTCTGGAGACTGCCAATGCCACTCTGGAGAGGCAGATTCGCGAGCACTATGAGAAGAAGGGACCGGTCTGCCAGAGGGACTACAGTTGCTACTTTAAAACCATTGATTGCCTGAAGGAAAAGGTACAACATGGAAGTTTTGAGACATTTAAGGGTGGAAATCTTGTGTCTGAAATATGAGATTCTAATAAATATGGCATAGATTTCTGATTCAGATTCCTGTGAACTAAAATATCACTGCATAAAAAGTACAATGTTGTTTACAATCCTAAAGAATGAGAAAAGTTTTCAGCCTTGTTCTTTAGATACAGTTTGCAGTAACACAATGTAAATAGTATTGATAAGAAAGTAGACAAAATGTGTAATGTTTGTTTAAAAGTTGTAAATGAGGAACATTGATAGTTTTTTATTGCTCTTCATTGTAGATTAAAGATGCTACCATCAACAACGGCAAAATCCTCCTGCGTATCGACAACTCTAAATTGGCTGCTGAGGACTTCAGGATAAAGTGAGGCATTTTTTAAATCTAGTTATTTTCATACTTTTAATGAAAAAGTAAATACAAACAGAATGAGAAGCTCTAAGTTGTGTTCCTTTTTCGCATAAGTAAACAGTAAGGTATATTTCTTTGTTAAAGACAAATAAAATCAGAATTTGATGTAAAATTAGTCCTTCAAAGTGTAACACAATCTATGGCTGCATGGCACATTTATAAACACACATGTACACAAACAAATGTATGTACATACACACATATACAGATGTTCATTTGAACAGATGTAATCCAGCCATAGATACAATATTTTTTTTTATAGTGATAGAAGAAACAATGACAAATAACAACTAATCTTTTAAATTTAACAATAGTAGAAGATGTGTTGCTATATATATATATATATATATATATAATTTTGTTTGTATATAGATCATTGATTCATGTTTAGACAAGATCATTTCATTCCGACCTTTTCACCAATCAGATATGAGAATGAGTCGTTGATACGGCAGTGTGTGAAGGCTGACGTTGATAACCTGCATCGCATACTTGATAAGACATGCCTGGCAAAGGCTGACTTGGAGATGCAGACCTGCAATCTGCAGGAGGAGCTGGTATATTTGAAGAAAAGTCACCAGGAGGTTTGTAGCAGTTTGCCTGTAGCAGAATATTTTGTATGTTTTTAAATAAGGAAGCAATAACTGAAATTCCCAATTTAAAGCCGTTATGCTTGAACTACCGGTGTGTGTGCTTGCAGAATGTGGCGGCACTACTGTGTCAGTTAACAAACACAAAAGTGTGTGTGGAAGTGGATGCTGCTCCTCAACAAGACCTGAACAAGGTTTTGGACGACATGCGGTGTCATTATGAGACCATCATTGATAAACACTGCAGAAAACAGGAGTGTTGGTTCAAGGAGAAAGTGAGGCTTCTAATTCCTCTACATGTGAACACTAATTAGTCATCATAGTGGCAGCCTTTTGATTTTAAATTGCAGTTTGGAGTGGTATTACCGCAAAACAATATAGTTCTGTGAATCACAAGTTAAATAGCTCACATATTATGTGTGTTTGTGACTCTCTTTAAGATGGCAGATCTGTGTAAAGATGCTGCCACCAACACAGAGTGTCTAGAAACCTCTAGATCAAAGATCTCAGATTTGCGACGTACTTTGCAGTGCCTGGAGATCGAGCTACAGTCTCAGATCAGCATGGTGAGACATAGGAAATATAGAATTTACAATCCTAAAGAATGTGAAAAGTTTTCAGCCTTGTTATTTAGATACAATTTGTAGCTAGCTGTTATTGAAGATAAACCTGTCTTTGTTTTGTTCTATTCAAGTTAACTGTTTTTGTATTAATGTAAATTTGTCTTTTTTTTCTTTATGACTGTTTTCTTCACCTACACAGAAAGGAGCAGAGGAGTGCTCACTGTTGGAAACAGAGGCTAGGTATAGCACTATGCTAGCTGGCTTTCAGAAGCATATCAACTCATTGGAGGCAGAGCTTTGTCAGGTGCGCTCTGGCATTGAGCAGCAGGGCAGAGACTATGCTGTACTGCTGGACATCAAGAGCCGTCTGGAGCAGGAGATCGCCACTTACAGATGCCTCCTGGAAAATCAGGGCGTTCAGTAAGTTCATCTTTTTATTTCAAACAATTGAACAATGCAAGGATGGGGAAATAGGTGTTGCGTGATGTTTTCTTCTGGAAAAAAAGGACTTCACTAATGGACTAATCTTTTCCCCCTCTAATAGGACTCAAGCACAGGGTAAATAAAATCTCTCTTATTTTGTTACTGTGGGGGTGATAATTTGGGTCAGCTTCAGATTGTATGTTATTTATTAATCTCTTTTTCTCTCCCTTTTCAGGTGAGGGTTTGTGTGTACAACGCCAGTCTAAAAAGTAGTCAAGTGCAATAATAAACAAATGTAAACAAAGAACTGTAACAAGGTTATAATGCAACTGTATTAAACATTCTGTATTGACAGTCTTACAATTCACAATTAAAGACCAGTTGGGAAACATAGTTTTCTTTTCTGTCTTGATGTATTTAATGTTAAAATAGGATTGACATACACTGCTGGGTACACACCAAAAGATAATCGGGCTGATTTTGGTCCGATTTTCCCCCTTCCTAGGTATGTCCTGATTATCTTGATGGTTCTACAGATTACCTTATCAGATTCTCCCTTGGTGTGAGGTGTGTTAAAGTGTGTAGGTCAGGTTTTTTAGATATAAATCTAAAATTCTAAAAAAATCTAAAATCCAATTTTTTTTTTTAGATATATTAAAGGATTAGTTCACCCAAAAATTAAAATTCTGTCAGTATTTACTCACCCTCATGTTGTTCCAACCCCGTAAAACCTTCGTTCATCTTCGGAACACAAATTAAGATATTTAAGTTATTAAGATTACTCCTGCATACTAGTCCATAGGCTTCTTGAGGGAATGACTTGCAGTCCTCGAAAAGTCATTAAAGTCATTCTCGAGTCGACTCTATTCACTTTTCAAAGCAACGGTGAAGAAGCATCGCCTCTGAATGATAGGTCTGGGGGTCGATTCCAAAAAGAATCGATTCCGAGGTGTTGGGAATTAAGAGTCGATTCCAAAGGTTCAAAATGCAAAGGATAGAATCGATTCCATTAAGGGGAATGATCTTACTCGACTCGTTGTAGTTTAGGATAAGTAATAAATCTGATTTATGAAATCAATCGACAAAAACAATCAAATTATTTTTTAAGTCATTAAATTCAAGTTCACATAACTTTTCCCTCTGCTGCGGCTGTCTGACATTGATTTTCTATTCAGCATCAAACGCGCACCTTCGGTTACGACAGTCAACATGATGAAACTCTCTCCAAGACGATTCACTGTTACTATTATTATGCTTGACCTGTAGATAAAGCTCTATGGATTCGCATAAATTGACTATATTGCTGGACTGTATTGCTGTATCTTAACCTCCTTTCTACCGTGTGTCTGTTAGATCACAACACAGGAGATCACTATCATTCTTGGAGCCCGATCTCATGAAAGTTCGTATCTATAGTACGAATGTCATTTCTCGTGCCATTTATACGCCAAAAACAGTTTTTGCGTGTATGTGGTACGCGTTTTTTGTGTGCATATGATACGCACTTTTTGGCGTATAATACACACGCATAACTGAAATTTAATTGTTAAAAGAAAAGGTTCAATAAACTATTGTATAGATTGTATATACAATAGTAACTATTGTATAGATAGATGGCAAAAAATGCATCTCAAAATGGATCAGATTGATGCTTTAAAATATGGAATATTTAAAATTTTCCCAAGAGGAGGACTTTTTGAATTTATTTATACATTTACTTTTTTAGTTTTTCCATTAAAAAGATTTCTCAACTCAATAAATAATAGCCATATAAACGTAGCATAATTATAATAAAATATTTTAGGTCCATCAAAAAGCTTGCTCGTTAACCAGCAGGCAAGCTAATCCAGCACAAATTAGTGCATAAAAGGTCACCAAAATGAAGTATTTGAACCAATTATAATTAAATACAAAAGGAGGGGAAAAAATGCAAAAAGGACCTACTGTCTATGGTCCTAAATAGTATTCGAAAATAGAGAATTAGTACGTCCCAAATCGTATTATGTTGAAATGAGTGTTTCAAAGATACCCGGATGGTCTACTTTTTCCGGTCAGAATCCGAAGTGTAGATCGATGCACACTCTAACGGCTGATATTGCCCACAAACCATTGCGCGTTGGACGAGAATTCGGTTAGAACTACAAACACGAGTAAAAAGTGTTAAAAAACTACAGACACGTAGTCGTTTCGGAGGACGCGCGAGTCCCCGCGGTTGTGTAGAGAGATTCAAATTGCAAACACACGAGGAGAGCATGAAAGACCCACAACTGGCAGATGAACGTGCTCTCCGAAACGGTAGGAAATAAAATTAGATAGAATGGAGGATTTTAACTGTGACAAGATGATTGACAGGGCAGTTTACGGTGACAGGATGCACTCAGCACGCGACAGAGCTGTCCGTTAAAGATAACGTGATAGTATGTCCCAAAGCTTGCCTACTCTTTTGCTACACACTCAAAAGTACTTTTTCCTCATAAAAAGAGTACTTTTATGACGTAGTATAAGTAAGCGAATTCTTCTTCTTCTTCTTCTTCTTCTTCTTCTTCTTCTTCAGTTTTTAATTGCGGTTGGCAAACCTGTTTCCTGCGTATACCCAACTAACTACCTAACTTAAATAACTAAATAAATAAATGTCCTAATCAAATAATTCTCTCGCTCTATCATTCGTACAATTTACAACACAGCTCACTGACTCACTTTTCCCTGCAGAGCAAAATAAAGGACAGCATACTCAAACTGTATTTTTAATATTCCAGGGTCTTAATAACAGTATACCCAGAGCCATATATGGATATATGGATATATATATATATATATATATATATATATATATATATATATATATGTGGATATATGCATAGCTGTCAACATTGAACATTGAAAATAAGGGAGTTTTCCCGGAATCCATCCCCAAAATAAGGGATTTTTTTTTTTTTGCACAATTCTCACCCACAAACTTTAAAAATAAAGCACAATCCTTAAAAGTCTAAGGTGTTCATCTAGCCTATGTGTGAGAGAGAAAGAGACAGTGTCATTTAAAGGGAAAAAAATCTACATTTGGATTAGCGTGTGTTGCTCTAGCATTTGGACAACAGTTTCAACATTTAGCCTATCACACATCTTCCAAAATCCGCAAAATAGGGAAGTGGGCTGTCTGTGTATTTTAATTACATTTACACATTTTGTGTAGCTTTAAAGAGCCTATTTAGCCTGATGGTGGACCATCACTCAGAAGACACACTATCTTTATATCCTCCTATAGGCCCAGAACGTTTTTTTTTTCCAAGTTTTTTTTCTTCTTCATGTAATCACATTGTTAAAAGCTTAAGAAACAAATGGAAAAAAAGAAAATATATTTTATTCATATATTTGAAAATCTATTTATAATAATTATTTTTTGTTTAAATTACATTGATATCTGAATTTATGTAAAAACCTAGACTTTCAAACATCAAAATGTAATGTATTAATATGTATTCGAGTACAAAATTACATTCAGCTAGCCTAAACATCGTTTCCTATTTTTTATTTATTTTTTTGCCTGGAAACGCAAAGAAATTCCAGGCAAAGAAACACGCTTGCCTGTCGCGTGAAAAATAGGCGTCAGTTCTATTTCTAGCATGCACGCTTTTTCTGGAGACGCGCGTGTCACGCAGGCAGCGTGCAATAAAAACTGACACGCCACGCAGCCAGTGTGTCTCCGGCCAGCGCGCGCGGCACCGCATCCGAGGATAAACGACTTCAAGCCGAATCTGTCCGAGCCCGTACGTCTCACACAATCAGAGAGTAAAAATACGGTATATTTTACGGGAAAATACTCAAACGGGAAGACAGCGGGAAAAGAGCTAAAATACGTGAGAAACCCGGAAAAAACGGGAGGGTTGACAGCTATGATATATGGGTGGATATATTATTGCTCTGATTATACCCTGTTAGACGTCTCCCTCTATATGACGTCAAGCGATTCGTTTGGGGGGAGGAGTAGTTTTAAAGGGTTAGTTCACCCAAAAATGAAAATTAAGTCATTAATTACTCACCCCTCTTCGGAACACAAATTGTAATAGTTTGTGTAATTAATAAGTAGAGTCTGCCATCTTGTGGTCAGTATTGGAAATGCGGTAATGACATTTCATGTTTATTTTGGAAACGAGTTTTGATGTTACCGGAGTGAACCGGCTTCGGTAGTTCAGCAGTCTGTATCAGAATGTGATAGAGTAAAGACGGTTGATTGAGAACTCCTTTTTGGTCTGATTATTGTCTCAACCCCAAGATATTACAAATGGCGACGAGGATATTCGAATGCCACTGCGTCACTGCACTGTAAAAGGAACCGTACACTGGTCGTGGTAAAAGGATTTTTTTTTACGGAGGAACCAGGCACGTGTGGATAAACTGTTAGCAGTTAGCTGTTAAAAAAAAATCTAAAAATGGCTGTACCAGTCGGTCGCGTGGATGAATACAATGACACAAAGGAGGATTTTGAGTCATATCTGGAACGTCTGGAACAGTGGATGTTGGCAAACGAAATCAAGGATGAAAAGAAGGTGTGTGTTTTTCTCTCGGTGATTGGAGCGGATGCTTACAAGTTGTTGAAAAATCTGGTGTCGCCGACAGTACCGAGTACTATGGAGTATTCCAATCTGGTGAGTGCACTGAGTACACATTACAAGCCAGCACCGATTGTAATCGCGGAACGTTTTCGGTTCCAAAAGTGTAACCAGAAAGAGGGGGAAACTGTCTCGGATTATGTGATAGCTTTGAAGCAGTTATCAGCTACTTGTATGTTTGGACAGTATTTGGATGACGCGCTGAGAGATCGTTTCGTGAGTGGATTACGCTCGGATGCAGTGCAGCGCAGATTGCTGTCTGAAAAGGATCTGACTTTCCCGAAAGCTTGTGAGATTGCAGTAGCAATGGAGCTGGCGTCAAAGAAATCAATGGAGTTTTCAGGACACAGCCAGGCTCATCAGGTAAATGCCTTGTCAAGTGCAGGTTTTTCTGAAAAGGGGAGGAAAGGACAGTTTAGACGACAGAATGATAATAAAGCTCAAAGCAAGGGCCAAAAAGGAGAAAACAGAATGGTTGGGGCATCACAGACATGCTACCGATGTGGTGGAAGACACTCAGCACGTGACTGCAGATTCAAGAATGAAAAGTGTCATTCCTGCTCCAAAATTGGACACATAGCACGTGCATGTAGAAAAGGAAAAAACATCTCTCAAACTCATTTTGTGGAAGCTGAAGGAAATACATCAAGAGGGGATGAAGAGGCTGAACTTTTTGGTGTGTATGCATTATATTCCACCTCAAGTTGTGAAAAGGGGTACACAGTGGATGTCTTACTGGGTGATAAGAGCACAACAATGCTGCTGGATACAGGGTCAGCTGTGTCA